GATATTAAAATTCTCTCTCTCTCTCCCTCTCTCTCACTCTCTCACTCTTTCTTAAAAAAAATTATTAAAAAAAAGAGTTTAAATCTATTTCATGTGGTTTGGCTTGTATGAATTACATAGGAAGAGTGAAATTTTTAAAATTCTCTCAGGTTCTTACTCAGTCATACATAATTTAGAAAATGTGACTATAAAAGTAATAAAAGAGCTAAGATTTTAAAATCCTGAATATGCAAGTATTTTACCTACTGTTTTACTGTACAAAGAACCTTTTTTAAATGAATGCTTTATCATTATTTCCTGCAAGCAAGGGAATTTTTCGTACATGCTGAACATAGCTATTAACATTGGAGTGTTAGCATGAGGAAATCAACACAGATGCATTTAATTAATTTATTTATATGTGGTGCTGAGAATCGAACCCAGTGCCTCATACATGCCAGGCAAGCACTCTACCACTGAGCCACAACCCCAGCCCAACACTGATGCATTAATACCACCTAATCCTTAGACTCCATTCAAGTTTCACCAGTTGTTCTAATAATGTCCTTTATAAGCAAAAGAATCTAATTTAGAATCACATGTTACATTTAGTAGTTTTGTCTCAATTACTTTCAGCTTGGAGCAGTTCCTCAGTCTGTCCTTGAATTTTATGTAAACCTTCACACTTTTTTTCCTTTTCCTTTCTTTGTGTGTGTGTGTGTGGGGGGGTGATATTAGAGATGGAACCCAAGGAGCCTTTTACCTCTGAGCTACATCTCCAGCCCTTTTAAATTTTTTGTTATTTTTAAAAAATATTTTTAATTGTAAATGTAAATACTTTTATTTATTTATTTTTATGTGGTGCTGAAGATCGAACCCAGTACCTCATATTAGTGCTAGGCAACACTCTACCACTGAGCTGCAACCCCAGCCCCTCTTTTTATTTTGAGACAGGAAGGGTCTCACTAAATTGCCCCAGCAGGCCTTGAACTTGTGATCCTCCTGCTTCAGCCTCCTGAATAGCTGGAATCACAGGTGTGTGCCATCATGCCTGGCAAAAACCTTGACACTTTTAAAGATTATAGGCCAGTTATTTTGTCTCCAATTATTGTTTTTTTTCCCCTGATGCTTCTTCACAATTATATTCAGATCACACATCTTTGTAAGAATCGCAAAAATGTTAGTGTATTCTTATCATAGGATTTGAGTTTGTTCTATTGGTGATTTATGATGATGTTCTGAACATTTGATTAAGGTGATATCTGCTAGACTTGTCTTTGAAAGTTTTATATTTTTCCCTGCTTTATTAATATTTTGTGGGGAAATTTTAAAAAAATATTTATTTTTAGGTGTAGATGGGCACAACACAATGCCTTTATTTTTATGAGGTGCTGAGGATCGAACCTGGGTCCCACCCGTGCTAGGCGAGCCCTCCACACCTGGGTCCTGCCCGTGCTAGGTGAGCGCTCCACCGCTTAGCCACAATCCCAGCCCCTGTGGGGAAATATTTTAAAGTTACCATTTCTTATCAAACTTCCAATTTGTGTATTTGATAGTAACTCCTGGTTTTCTGTTTTTCTCAGTGGATTATAACTTGCTAACATTATTATTTATTTTGATGCTCAGTTCTCAGTTTGACCAGTAGTGTCCCATGTAAGCTGATCTCTATCCTCTTGACATGTTCTTAACATAAATCTCTAAATATATCCATACTTTCTGGCACCAAAAGATATTTCAGGCTTTGTACCATCCCTATTCTAATTTTGGAATCAAACCACTTTTCTAAGAAGCACACTAATTCCTTTTAGTAGAGAAATTTAGAAATGAAAACCTGTTGCTAGGTGTCACAGCTCCCAGCCCTTTCTTTGGGAGCTAAGAAATATGAATGTTACTTCCATACGTTTGAGTATGGTAATGTACCTCCACACCCATATTGAAAACAATGAAGTTATACTGATACTTCCAATTCTAGTCTAACACCATGGAAGTTGTTCTGATTTTTCCTTCTTACCATATTTGTAACTCCATTTTTTAAAATGAGAAATGCTTTTTCCTTGTTATTTATATTTATTTGATCAGTCCTTCAGTATGTCATTTTTTTTTAATCATCTGCTTCTCTTTGGAATGCCACCCTTCCTCTCCTTGACCTTGGCAACCTTTGTCAGGCTGACCTTGTTCCCCACAATGTGGATACCCCCTTTACTTTTCTTGGGCTCTGACTTCCCATGTTGGACTTAGCCATGTAGAGCCCATCTTCATTTTGCTTTGGGCTCTGATGTTCCATGCTTGATCTTCCCTTTGCTTGTTGAGATATGCTTTGTCTTCATCCTGCTCAGACTCTGACATCCTGAACTAGACCTTTGATCCATTTGATATAATGCTTTTAACTAAATTATATAGATTTTTTAACGCCCCCTTTCTGTTTTAAGATTTGACTTACTGTCCCACAAAATCATTTAGTTGTGACAGTTCCTTAATTTTTTCTTACCTTTTATGACCTTGTCATGTTAGATGAATGTTGGTCAAGTATTTTGTAGAATGTTTTTCATTTTTGGTTTACCAGATATTTTCTCATGATGAGATTGAGATGATGTATTTTTGCAAGAATACAATAGAAATAATATTTTCTTCTCAGACTGGGAGAGGGAGTATGTGATGTTAACCAGTCGTATCACTGGTAATGTTAACTTTGTGTTTGGGGGGGTAATGGTTTCTTTTTCTTTTTCTTTTTTTTTTTTTGTGGTACTGGGGATTGAAACCTGGGCCTTATGCATGCTAGTCAAGTGCTGTACCACTGAGCTATACCCTCAGCTCTGGTGATGTTAACTTTGATGATTCAATTAAAGTGATGTCTGTCAGATTTCTCCATTGTAAAATTACTACTTTTTCTTTTGTATTTGGTAATACCTGAAAGAAATACTTGGAAACTATGCTAATTTCATCAAACTTTCCACCTCCAACTTTTCCCACTGCTTTTAGCCATTAGTAGGCCTTGCCTGCAGTAATTATTACAGTGATGTTGGTCTAGTGGTGATTTTTTAATTTCTCTCATTCTTTCTCCCTTATTAATTGTAATTCCTTTGAAAGAAAAGATATCCCTTCTCCCCATTTCTATATTCAGTTTTTTATGAGTATTGGTCTCATGTATATTTGCTATATTCTATGCTATCTGGATTTGTTTTGCTATATTCAGTGCTATCTGGATTTGTTTTTTGTTTTGTTTTCTTACTCAAAAAAAAATTTTTTTTTTGGCACTATGAATTGAACCTAGAGTCACTTTACAACTGAATTTCAGTCTGAGTCCTTTTAATTTTTTATTTTGAGATAGGGTCTCCCTAAGTTGTTGAGGCTGGCTCTAAACTTGATGATCCTCCTGATTAACCTTCCCACATCATTGGAATTACAGGTGTGCACCACCACATCTAGCCTTGCTCCAATTCCTTAGTCTTCCAATATCTAGTCAAGATACTGTTTTTCAGAACTACTTCATGTCTTAGTTATCATTAGCTGCTACATAACAAATTATCATAGGTTGCATAGCTTAAAATAGCAGATATTTATTTCTTTCAGTCTGGAGGCTGGGAAGTTTGAGATAGGGGTGCCAGTGTGCTAGGTTTTGGTGAAGGCTCTCTTCCAAGTTGCAGATAATCGATTTCCCCTTGTGTGCATATTGTGGAAAGAGTGTGAGCTTTCTGGGGTCCGTAATATCATTCAAGAGAGTGCTACCCTCATAACCTAAATACCTCCCAAAGTCCCCATCTCCTAATACCATCCAATTAGGGTTAGGCTGTTATTAGATATTTAGTTCATAATATTAATATTTTCTTCTTTACACCTTTCAGAGTGGTTGTCTTACTCATTTGTATTTTTAGGTTAATTTTTTAGGTAAATTTTTTAGTTTTTGCATTCTATTCTTCATCTCTTCTTACCTTCCTGGTTGGTTTTCATCAATTAATTTGTGGGAGGGTATGTGAAACCTTACTGATTCTAAGAGTTTGAACATATACCAAAAGATATATTCAGAAAAGTGTTTCTCCTTCCTTAACCCTGCTCTCCTGTATCTATTATCTCTGGTTTTCTATCCTTTCTTGCTAATGACTTGTATGTAATCAATTTCTTTTCTCTCCCCCGCCACACACCCATACACAGTGGGGATTGAACCCAGGAGCTTTATCTGAGGGCTGCTTATGACCTCACTAAATTGTTGAGGTTGGCCTTGAACTTGGTTCCTTCTGTCTCAGAATCCTTCTGTCTCAGAACCCTTCTGTCTTTGGGATTTGTAATCCCAAATTGCTGGGATTACAGGCATGCACTACCACATCCAGCCTAATTTCTTGTTTACTCTTGTATTTCTTTTATAGGAACAAGCAGACACATGTGTATTTTCTTTAGTATCCTTATTTTTTACACTAAAGCTGCACACTTTGATTTTTTTCATTTAGTATTGTATCTGGAAATCACTCCAAATTATTCTAATGGAATCTTCCCTATTCTTTTTTTTTTAACCTGCATAATACTCCAAAGTTTATTAAATGCATACTCTGTGTGGGTATTTAGAGTATTTTTCAGTATTTTGTAATTACAAAAAGTGTGACAGTGAATAACCTATCTGGGGTTTCTAGGACTTCTGAAATCTGTGGCTTAATGTTTTTCATAAGTTTTGGAAAATTCTCAGCCAAATGGTACTTCTGTTCTTTCCTCTCTTTTGTCTGCTTCTGGTATTTCAGTCACATGCGTGTTATAGTAACTTACCCTCTGTGTTGCTTTTACCCTTTCTTCTGTGTTTTCTATCCCTTTGATTCACTGTCTGTTGTTTCAATAAGTTTCTTGTAGTCTCTCTTCTGGTTCTCTATTTCTTGAATTGTATTTGATGTTAAAATAATCCATTGAGTTCTTAATTTTGATTATTGTATTTTTTGTAGTTGTGTATGGACAGCATGCATTTATTTTATTGGTATGCAGTGCTGAGGATCGAACCCAGTGTCTCACACATGCTAGGCATGCACTCTGCCATTGAGCTACAGCCACCGCCCATGATTATTGTATTTTTAATTTAGAATTTATATTTGGTTATTTTAAAGATCTAAATGAGAAACAAAACATTTTTGTCATTTACTTATTTTTTAAGTATTATTAGTTGTAGATGGACACAATACCAGTATTTTATTTATCATTTTTATCCGGTGCTGAGGAAAACCCAGGGCTTCTTCACACATGCAGCAAGCGCTCTACTACTGAGCTACAACCCCAGCCCATTTTTGTCATTTATAAAATAACCTGGAGCTTCTGTTGATGTTTTTTTTAAATATTTATTTTTTTAGTTGTAGTTGGACACAGTACATTTATTTTATTCATTTATTTTTATGTAGTGCTGAGGATCGAACACAGGGCCTTGCATATGTGAGGTGAGTGCTCTACCACTGAGCCACAATTCCAGATCCTGTGGTAGATATTTTATTTGAAAAATTATCTATAGAAATATAATTCATCTGAGATCTTACAGAAAATATTTTAATTTGCTTTTGCTAACTAAATAGGTGCCTGGAGTCACTAACAATCTGGGAGTCATTTTAGTCTATTCAGGCAACAAGATTTTTCTAGTCCCTCCTGATGACCAAGCAGTTGTTTTGCTTTATCCTTAATTTCAAGGCACTGCCATTGAGGATCCCAATCAAAACATTGGCCATTTACCAGAATTTCTGCTGTAGATGGGCCCTGGCCTCCAACTTTCAGTTTGAAAAGACTTCTTTTTAAAAATAGACTATTTTGGGACAGTTTCAGATTAGGCAGAAAGTACTGTTCTCACATACTTCCTGCCCACACACAATGAGCCTTGTAAGTGCATTGTCCAGTCTAATGATTCTTTTCTTCAAATTTCTCATATCACCAGGCAAAAAGTGGCCCTAAGTACCAGGCTTATCTTCTAGATGTCTTTCCTTTCCCAGATCTTAGCCTGATAATTCTTGTTGGTGTCTGATGCCTTTGACCAGATTTTTTTGCCTTTTCATTTAAATCCAATTATTTTTTGACTGACACATAAAAACAAAAATTGTGCATATTAGTGAACTAAAGAAATGTTTTGATATGTGTTTACATTGTATAACCATTAAAACAGGTTAAGCATATCTTCTCAAGCATTTATCATTTCTAACACTTTTAGAATTCTTTTCTTTACCTTTTTGAAATGTATATTATTGTTATCTAGAGTCACCCTGCGGTACAAAAACACACCAGAAATTCTTGCTCCTATCTTAGTAAAACTTAGTATCTATTGATTAACCTTTTCCCAACCCTTTCATCCCTTATTTTTCTCAGCCACTGGTAACCCTATTATATTTTCAACTTGTATAAGATTATCTTTTTTCAGATTTCATATGTGAGTGAGATCATGTGGTACTTGTCTTTCTGTGCCTGACTTACTTAACATAATGATCTCTAGTTCCATCTGTATTGTTGCAAATGTAGGATTTCAGGATTTCATTGTGCATATGGACCACATTTTAAAAATCCATTCATCTGTTTGTGGGAATCAGTTTTTTGTTTTTTTTTTAAGTATTGTCAGTATAGTTTTTCTAGTTCTCAGTGGGAAGGTTGGTCTGATCTATGTAACCTATCTATTAAACACAGTTTTCTCTTTGTTATACTTTTTGCAAGTAGACTGCATTTCTGCTTAAATATTAGATCTATTAGATATTATAAACTCAGATAAGACAGATCAAGGTAACACTGTTAGGGGAGTAGCACAATTAAACACCTCTATTAGCATTATGGTCTTAAAAGTTTGCTTTCAAATATGGAGATACAGTGTAGAAATTATAGTTTTAATTTTAATTTTATTTTTTTATGTGGTGCTGAGGATCAAATCCAGGGTCTCACATGTGCTAGGAAAGCTCTCTACTGCTGAGCTACAACCCAGCCCCAAAAGTTTTGATTTTTTATTATCTCTTATTCTAGCTCGTGATGCTGATGAGCGAGAGAAGTGGATCCATGCCTTAGAAGAAACAATTCTTCGACATACTCTTCAGCTTCAAGTAAGGGTCTTTACATGACTTCTGGATAGTTTGTTAGGTGTGTGTGTGTGTGTGTGTGTGTGTGTGTGTGTGTTTTCTGGGTTTTTTTTAAAATAACTGATAATGTATAATAATAAGTTGCTTATTCTTGCTTTATGGTATTATCATACATTGTAAAGTTATAGTCCTTTATTTTCTTCTGTTTTCTGTAGGACAAAGTATTGATTTTTGTTTAGAAAGAAGATAATATAAGGCAATGTTAAAAATGAAGTGCTGTGTTACTTTGCCACAGTAATTATTTTTTTCATTTACTATATTTTAATTGTCTTTGTTTCTTTCCACATTTTTATTGGTTCATTACAGTTGTATGTAATAGTAGAATTTGTTGTGACATGTTGTATATGCACATAATGTAACAATATAACTTGTCAGATTAATTTTTTGCTTAATATCAATAGTTGTTATTGATATAATCAAATTATAGAATCATGCATGATAATAAGTAAGTGCTGAGAAGTTGATCTCATTTTCTCATTAATATGATTTGGCTATTACCACATGCATTGATTAGTATGGCAATACTAACTGGGATAAAAGTGAAAGAAAACTCAACCAAAAATGGATCAAGGAAAAAAAAAAGAGAAGCCGATTTAGTTGAGGTTTAATTTGAAATAGTTCCTTAAACAAACTATTAATAGTTCCTTAAACAAACAATCTGTGAGGACTCAGATTCCCCATCTCTGTTTCTAGATTCCATTTCTTCTGTTTTGGCTTCACTTTCAGATAGGTTTTCCCTTTGTGTTGTTAAGATGATTGTAGCAATTTAGTCTCACATCATAGGAACTCTGAGTCCATTGGAGGCTCTTGTTCTTTCTGGAGCTCAATAAGATTAACAGGTGCAGTGCTGATCACCTTAGCTTTAGTAGTTTGTCTGATCCAAATTAATCACAATTTCACAATCATATGTTCTACCTTGGAGCTAGGATGTTATGAGCTTCATCAGAAACAATTGATAGAAGGGTAGAAGATGTGTCCATCTTACCCCATCCCAGAAAGTAAAAATAAGGGAAAAAAACAACAAATCTCTCTTCTACAATATAGAAAATACTCATCTATGTTTATTCTCCAACAAAAGAGCTTATATTTATGGCATATGAAGGATTTCATTTTATTTTGATATGGAGGATTGAATTGTAGAAAACTGCTTTATAAACTTTTCTCTCTACTTAACTTTTGTCCTACACCAGGAATTAGCTTCATTAGATAAGATGTATAGGGAATTTCATGTTGTACAAGTTGTGAGGTCCCTATCACTTGAAAGTATTCAAATAGAAGCTTAAAAACATTTTTTGAGTATGTGGTTATTCAGGGACAATAAGACATTAATATGGAGTTAGTAGTTACTCTATGAGTTATGTTTTTTAAAGCAGTTTCATGGTCTCCATAGGGTTTTTTCCCCCCTTTAATTTAGGGAGTTTTATAAATAATACAGCATCATTTCAGTAAATTTATGATTCAGCAATTTGATAAGTTTTTAATAGTAATATCAGACTGAATGTGGCAGATGAGATTTCCCCCACATTTGGTTAGACTGACATATAATTCTGTCAATGATCTGTTTTCAGGCTACCAGTACCAATATTTCTGCCACTGTATCTCTCTGTAAACCTACACAAATGATGTTGCTTACTTATGTTCTTCCAAATAGTTTAAAAATTTCTGGCCTCTACATCTGTATGATGTTCTTAATCTTTGAATGTCTTTTGCCCTTTTCTTCAAGGTCTAGTTCAAAACTGATCTCTTCTGTGGAAACTCCACTGATTGGTCCTCCTCCCTTGGCATCCAAGTTCAAAGTGATCTCTTTCCTTTGAATGTCATAATCATTGCACAATTCACAGAGTCCTTACCATATTCTTCTTGTTTACCTTTTAAAGTATGTAGAACTCACACCTTTCTAGTTAGTATACAGACTCCTTAAGGTCAGATACTGACTTTGATAAGATTTTGATAAGAAGAGCATTTATGTATTTTTTCCAAATTTAATGTATAGAGAGGATAAGATATTTAGAAATGTGGAATTAAATGTTCATTTAAGTGACCAAAGAGTCTCTTCCCAGAGGAAGGCAAGTGTGGTAAAGAAGTTTGCTCTGGAGCCAGAATGTCTGGTTTGTATCCCAGTGTCATAACTTACATTTAACCATTAACATTTAACTTACTGTTTCTGAGTTCCCGTGTCCTTATCTATAGAAGGACAAGAAATAACCACTTAATATGAGTTGTTGTGACAGTTAAATGAAGTTAAATGTAAATTGGATGAAATAATGCCTAGCTTTAGTAAGACCTTGATAACTGTTAGTTGCCATTACTAATACAACAACTACTGCCATTTCCTCTGCCAGTGCCTGGTATTCTACTAGTGCTCAGTAAATGTTAGTTAAATGAATAAATAATTGAAGGAATTAACGAAGAAACAGATTGCTTTTCCATGCTGTTATTGAATACTTTGAGAATATGGCCAAAGGGACTGGTAGTTCACCAGAAATAGCATTAAATCTGTGGGTGAAGCATCATTATGCAAAAAGGAGATGTGGTAGAATTGCAGTCATTAGCCTGTAATCCCAGTGGCTTGGGAGGCTGAGGCAGAAGGATCATGAGTTCAAAGCCAGCTTCAGCAATTTAGGGAGGCCCTAAGCAATTTAGCAAGATCCTGTCTCAAAACAAAATATAAAAAGGGTTGGGGATTTGGCTCAGAGGTTAAGTGCCCCTGGGTTCAATTCCTGGTACAAAAAAAAAAAAAAAAAAAAAGATAGCAGTTATTATAAGGCTTGGAAAATAGTAGAAGCAATGCAAAGGCTTTATTCAAAGGACAGTCTTCAGGTATGATAATTACATGTATGCCAAATCTGTTCTAGAAGAACATGAATTTAGTATTTAAGGTACATTTACAAGAGTAGCTGAAAAACCGATCTTTTAATAGTATTGAGATACCTTGATTCATGTGTCCAACTGGGTGTTCAACCCCAGGATTGCAAAATCCCAGCACACTGTTTATTAATCCCAAAAAACTTGGTGGACTCAATGGAAAGGATTTGGACATTTTACTGTGGAGGGCTACATCACACCTACAAGCAGGAGAAGTATATAGGATAGGTTGCATGTGTGGTATGGAAATGGGTTTCTTTAGATGTTTTGTATGTTCTTCTATTTTACAACCAAGTTTGCTCTGCTTTGATCCCCACCTAAAGACTGGAGGAGATAAGGGAAATGGTTAGTTTCTGTTTCTCTCATCACATTCCTTAGACTTTCTTATCTCACTGCTTGGAACAATAAGCATTTCAAGGCACTGAATAGTGTTTACCCCAATAACTGAGATAGAAAGATAGAAATCCTTGGAGCCTTTTTTCTTGAGTGTTAACCTGTTTCACCGAATATTAACTTTTTCAGACATACATTTCAGTATCTCATTATGTAAAGATCTGTTACTACAACTGTATTATTTCCCTTGGACTCATTAGATTTTATTTTCATGTGACATAGAAAAGTAGGTGTTTGTTTTCTCTCTTGAAGCCCTTTGTTTCCCAAAGGAAATGATTGTAATATAGATATGTTTCTTCTTTTCAGGTAAAATAGTGTGGAGAAGTGATCAGTTACTTGAGTTTCCTATGTCAGAAGAAGATGTGTTGTTGCTATTACTGGAGGCAGATGAATTTCTGACCTAAATTGGCGCTTAAGATTCTTTAGAATTCAATTTTAAAATAAATTCTGTTGTATTAGTAATAGCTTTTCTATCTTGAACTCTTAGGAAGGAACTAAGAACAGATGGTCCAGTTTTACAGATAACTAGAGGTTTTTCCTTTAACTGCCAGGAATTTATTTTAACAGTGTGTTTTTATGGAAATCTTACATATTTTTCTGCCTTTTCATTGTAGAAAAGAAAAAGCTTTGAATTAGTATATGTTCAATCCAGAATGTATGGAGAACATAGAAAATTTATTTATTCAGTAAATATTTATCAAGCATTTACTTACTGTATTCCATGTACCATGGCCCATGCCTTTATGGAACTCAGTCTAGTATAAAGAAGAAGCCATAATGACAATTAAACTTTAAAAATCTAATAAAGCAAACATGTAGGTAAGACATGCTTCTACAGAATTTTTAATCTATTAGAAGTATATAAAATATAAGTAATAGGGCTGGGATTGTGGCACAGGCAGGATCTGGGTTCGATCCTCAGCACCACATAAAAATAAAGGCATTGTGTTGTGTCGATCTACACCTAAAAAATAAATTTAAAAAAATATATAAGTAATAGCTTTTCCCAAGTTTTTCCTCTGGAGATAAACATGTTTTTCATTTATTAACTTCCTAACCCTGATGTAAAGTTATAGTACATAAATGAAGAAACATTTAAGACAAAGAATAACTAGACAACACAAAGCAATTTTAGTCATCTTGTGGCAAGGAATTGGCTATTTGGTATTAAATTTGGCAACTGAGGTGTTTGTTTTTTTTTTGTTTGTTTGTTTGTTTGTTTGTCTTTTGTTTTAGTTGTAGATGGACACAATATCTTTGATTTATTTATGTATGTATGTATGTATGTATGTATGTATGTATGTGGTGCTGAGGATCAGACCCAGTGCCTCACGCATGTGAGGCAAGCACTCAATCACTGAGTGACAACCCCAGTCCCGCAACTCAAGTGTTTTTAATGAAATCTGAAAGTTGTTTCAGAAAGGTAAGTGACCAGTGCAGAATGTTACCTATAAATATTCAGGCACTTGGGGCTGAGATTGTGGCTCAGTGGTAAAATGCTCACCTAGCACAAGCAGGACCCAAGTTTGATCCTCAGCACCACATAAAAATAAAGGCATTATGTGTGTTGTGTCCAACTACACCTAAAAAAATAAATATAAAAAAAATTCAGGCACTAGGGCTGAGGTTGTGGCTCTGTGGTAGGGTGTTTGCCTAGCATGTGTGAGGCACTGGGTTCAATCCTCAGCACCACATAACAATAAATA